AGCTTGGATACGAGAGCGTTGTAATAGGATAATAGAATTGTTCATCGGAGAGCCATGTTCCAATTCCAGTTGGGTTCGTTATATTCACTTAGGCGCAAGTACCCTTCGAAAAGTGATGAATCCACCTCTTCCCTCCCAGCTATGGGTTAATTAGTAAGACTTGTATCAGTAAATCATTATTATGTCCCAAAGATTTCTTCCAGTGAAAAAGTATTTTATGGCTTTAAAAAACCTGCAAAAGTTTGATAAACCGTAGAAAATCAATCAATCTAACCAAAGATAGGGGTCATTTTTCAAAGCTAAAGAATCATAAAGACAAGGTTAAGAAATTCGCTGTCTTAGGAGAATTTGGAATCATACATGTTGCTATCCCTTGAAAAGAAATTGTTAGATAAATTGGATGCGAAAGCAATTATTAGCAGATTCACACAATCATCTTGTGACCACAAATGATTGCTCTTAATATTATGGACTGCATGCAATGACCTATTGTGATTTTGAATTATCTGTTAATGTGTAAATTGTGCAGTAAACTATTTAAAAATATCAACAAATTACTTAAAATAAAAAAATGAATAAATAATTAACTATCACATTTGGTATCTGCTGCCAGTAATATGTACAATACATGTACACTGTAATTACTAAGAAATACAAAAATTTTAATTGTATCCTTTTATTTCCATATGTAGTTTTTTTTTTTTTAATTTTATTGAATCATTATAAAAAATAAATGATAGCATTGTAGTTGTAGGTGAAGTCCCTTTATCTCTTGGCAACCAATATTTTTAGACAGTCTGCCATCTTTACTAATCACCAGGACTATTTTCCAGCTTGGCAATGCATACTCACAAAATTGAAGAAAAATATTTATTATCATTAACGGATTATTTATCATTGATGCTTCTATTCATTCAACCACATATTTTGTATCAACTCTAGAAAGCCCAATCTACACTGCTATTTAAGCCATAGCCAGTGGCAAAAGGTGTAGATTCATGCCTCTGGCAAGGCCAAAGTGAATGCAGCAGAGTCATTTGGAATTTGAACTTGGCTTACCAATTCCATTTTCAATACTTATATTCCTTTATATCACTCATATATATTTCACCTTAATTAAAAAGAGATCCTCAATTAAACAATCTCAACTCAAAACAAACAACTGCTAACTGCAATTATCAACAAATTTGTACAATCATCTAGTGAACACAAATGATTGTTTTTAATATAGTGGACTGCATGTAATGCTCTGTTGTGTTTTTGAATTATCTGTTAATGTGTAAATTGTGCTGTAAACTATTTAAAAATATCAACTAATTACTTAAAATTAAAAAGAAATAAATAAATCATCCAATTATAGCATTCTGTATTTACAATTGGTATCTACTGCCAGTAATATATACATGTACGTTGTAATTATTAAGAAATACACATTTTTTTTCTACAAAAATTTTAATTGTACCCTTTTAGAGGAATTGGGTGCAGAAATAATTATTGGCAGATTTATGCAATCATCTCTTGAACACAAACGAACGCCCTTAATATAGCAGACTGCATGAAATGCTCTATTGTGCAATTGACCTATCTGTTAATGTTTAAGTTGTGTAGTAAACTATTTTAAAATATCATCTAATTTCTTACAATAAAAAATAAATAAAAAATTCACTATCTTACATATTTATATGTCTACCATTCTTCCTTGCTTTGAATATTGCTGCAACATCTGGTCTGGTGCTTCTGGTGTATTTAGAGATTCATGATAAAATCCCAAGAAAAATTTGTGTTATTTGTCCTGATCTGACATCTCGGCTTCAGTCACTGTCCCTCCGCCGTAACGTATCTTTCCTGTGACTTTTCTATAAATACTTTCATGGCAATCGTTCTGATGTAGTATCTAGACTTTACGAATTTAAAAGCGGTATTAGATTGGCGCCAAGGTCTCATTATTTTAGATTTAAAATAACTAGATGCAACCGTAAGTTCTATGTTAACGGTTTCTTCTCTCCTCGCTTATGGAACTCTGCTTCTTCCAAAATATAAATGTAATGTCAATCGTTATCTTCTGTATTCTTAATTCTTTTTCTCTCTCTTTAATAATGTTTTTTTTTTTTCTTATGTTCTCTAACATTCAGTCACCCTTTCCATGTTAGTGGCTTTATTGCCATGCTTGAAGTGAAATGATTAAAAAAAAAGGCAACAAAAGAAACTTACTGTCACTTAGAAATCACCAAATAATACGTAGGGGAAAAGTGAAATAATAATAATAATAATAATAATAGGAATTATTAAGCACATATACTAAAATATTGTATCAGCCCAAAATGCAGATTCTGTGATAAATATCCAGAAACGATTGATCATCTTGTATCAGGTTGTACGGTGTTGGCACCCACTGAATATAAAACCCGACATGACAGAGTGGGCCAATATCAGCACTGGAAAATCTGCAACTTCTACGGGAAGGAAACTGAAAGAAACTGGTATGAACACCACCCAGATAGGACCTGTTACAATTCTATGGGACTACACAATACACACTGACAGAACAATCAAGGCCAACCGGCCAGATATTGTTATTAAAGACCACAAACAAAAACGATGCCTCCTTATTGATATGGCAGTCCCTGCTGACTTCAATGTATCTTTGAAGATATTCAAAAAGTTGTCAAAGTACAAGGACCTTGAAATAGAAATCTCGAAAATGTGGCATATGGGAACATCAACAATCCCTGTTGTAGTTGGAGCCCTAGGACTGGTTGGAAAAGATTGCAGTAGACTAATTGAAGGGATTCGTGGAAGTCCATGTCTCAAGGAGATACAAAAATTGTTTGACAAGTACAGCCCACACTTTACGAAGGGCTTTATCTATGTAATTTAATTTTTTTTTTTTTTTTTTTTTTTGTCAGTGGAAAGTGTCATGACGCCATTTCTAACCTTAGGTCCCTGGGCGGGACCCGGAAAGAAATATGTAAACGCCAGAAATCAAAGAAAATAATAATAATAATAATAATAATAATAATAATAATAATAATAATAATCTATTACTGCATAAATTTTCCTTAAAACTTTATCATTTTTTACGTAATCTATCTTGCTGGCTAACGGTAATCTCAGGGTTGGCAGATTTTAAATTTAAGTTAATCCCTTCTAATAATAATAATAATAATAATAATAATGATAATAATAATAATAGTAATGTCCCAGGTAAAATCAACATAGAAGTTGCCCAGAAGGTCGCTATACTCGGAACATCCTATATATTAAGAAATGTGCTATCAATTAAATGACAATTCTCCTATAGGGCCGAACGACCATAGTTTGGACCCGGATTTATAGGATACAAAGCAGGAAACATAACATATACAAATAATAATAATAATAAAAATAATAATAATAATAAAGTCTACGGAAGACAATATCACAATACTTGGGAGGCTTGTTCTTACTCGATATTCATTGAACGATACGCAAATAAATAAATAAAAGGTCATTGAGTTCAAATATCATTGTGGTTAAGGTGAAGTGAATGCTATTTCACCTTTGTTGAGGGTCACAACCTTTTACAAGTACATGAAATCCAAATATTTGCAATTCCTATCCCAGAGATAAATTCGTGTGTTTCATAATGTTGAGATGAAGGTATATTCTCCAACACCCAGTATTTGTTTATGTTTTTTTTTTTTTTTTATATATATATATATAATAATTGATCCTGGCATTTGCATAACACTTACCTGCCACCGCGGTAGCAGCAAAATTTGATACCAACATCTGTTGCGTATATATATATATATATATATATATATATATATATATATATATATATATATATATATAAAAATAGAGTTTTAATATATATATATATCTTCGATTGCTAACACAAAAACAGAAAATGTCTCATATCGAGAATATTTAACATTGAAAAGCATAAGGAAAAATTAATTATTTTTAATAATATGTGGAAATGTCCGCTTTTACTTGAAGACGGTCGCGAGACCAAAAACACGTGTAGTAAAATTATGTAAAACGAAGCATAATATTTTTTCTAAATAAATCCACATTACAACAAAAAACGTTTGCGGCACCTCTCTTATATATATATATATATATATATATATATATATATATATATATTATAAATTAATTGATTTAAAATATGGTTATTTTCGCTACACAGTTCCAACCATGTTTCAAAAATAGAAGCTAAAAAACCCTAATTTTATTTTTTGCAAATAAATTAAAAGCATTAGTTCCATTTCATCTTCAAGCGAATCAATTAATTTATAATATTAATGCTCTGTAAATTTACATTGAGCACTATTTTGTAAAAATAAAATATCTATAAGAACACCGGATTTTATATCTTACTGTTCTTTCTTTTTATTTATATACATACATTATATATATATATATATATATAAAACTATAGTTTTAAGGTATGTTATATTTATAGAAAAAAATACTCAATATGAGACATTGATAAATATAAAAGTGGACATTGAGGCCTGATGATTGCGTTGAAATATGAAACACAGTCGTCACTTGACCTTAACCTCAGGATACACACACACACACACATATATATATATATATGATGAAATGGACGAAGTTCAACAATTATTTTAATATATTTTCTGTTTATACATTAATTTTATAGATACAAATATTTAAGTAAATGCTATGTCTAGAATAAACAGTATTAACAAAATTTACCAGGCTGAATGTCCGAGAAATTTCATAGAAAATATGCGTCCTCCGACAGGAATCGAACCTGTATCTTGTAGCGAACCCTCATATAGCCTGATGTGCGATACCATTTACCTACAGATGAAATTTTTCGGTCACTTTGGCCGGTAAATGTTGTTAATACTGTTTATTATAATCGGAGCATTTACTTAAAGATTTGTATCAATAAAAATAACGTATAGACAAAAAACATATTACAATATATATATATATATATATTATATTGCACGAAATTGCATATATTATATATAATT